TAGTGGAATAGGCTCTGGCAGTTGGGGCATTTGGGGGTTTGGATTTTGGGGCAGGAGGTTTTTTGTGGTTTTCACCATAGGTAGGGCAAGTGATTTTATTGGAGCATTCGCTAGCGGAATGACCGTTTTGCGAACACTGGGTACAGAATTTCGGGATAGGGGGGATAGGTTTGGTGTTGGAGGGTTCGACTGGGCGGATTTGGACATGGAGAACTATGCTTTGGGTAACCGCTCGAGTAAAGTGAGTCTCCGGCTCAGTTATAATCCTTACGAGTCTGGTAGGGAGGTTGGTTGCTTTGGAGATAATTCTCTGGAGATTTTTTAAAACGGGATTTCCTGGTCTTTCAGGGACTGATTGGAATTTTTCGTTGGTAACGTCGGTGTCGATGTTCTTTACGACAAAGGAAAGGGTGGGTTTAGTGGGTGGATTGATGGTAGCGTTTCCGCTAGGAGAGGGGCTGGATAGGGGGATGAAGATGATGTTATTATCACCGGTTTAATTAAAGTTGGCTTTGAGGCAGGTGATTTCATTTAAAAGGAGTTCGTTGGTGTTAAGAAGTAGGAAAAGTTCCTTTTGGGAGCGTTATTTTAGAGGTAAATTTCGGATTATTATGGAGGTGAGAGGTGGTTGTTGAGGGGTGAGGGTTGGGGTAGGTGCTTGTGAAATAGGTGAAAATATAAGAGGGGGTGAGGTAATTAGGGAGGTAGAAGAGGAAATAAAAGAGGCGGAGGAGGAAGAGGGGATTTTGGAGGGTGAGGGGGTAGTTTCGTGGGGGTAACTTGAGTTGGTTTGTATCCATTGTCGGGTGGTAGGGGAAGATTGAACAATGGAGGAAAATGATTTTGTCTTGGGATTAGGTGGTTTGGGAATGGTTTTTTTGGGGGGCATTTTGTCGAAATGTGGGGGTTGAATCCCGTGTGGGTGGTCAATGGGTTCTTTTTTGGGGTGTGTAGGTAATTTGATTATGGGTGGGTTTCGGAATACTTATCTAACTTGTAAAACTGGGTAGCTGAAAGCTTATCGGAATCTGTTTCAGTCCCGATACATCCCTTCTTCTGTCACAGTGATTAACAATTCGATTAACATTTATGGGTACAATCTGTATAAAGCAAACAAATGTCTTAAATACCTTATTTAATCGAAAAACTAACAAAAAAGTAATTTTGTTTTAAATCGATAAAATTAACGTTTTTTGAGAAATATTAATTTTTTGATTGAGATGATAGGTATAGAGAGAAATTTTTGGATAAACAAAAATTCTGGACAAACTGTTATTATTTGTAACTCTTTACTAAAAATACTAAAAGAAAACAATAGACCCAATAAATTTTCAAATGGATGTTAGGCATTATCCTAATGCAATTTTTATATTTTTTTATCTTAAAAATTCCGTGTACTCAACACCGATACAAACAAGAGATGGACAGAATAATTTTTTATTGTGAAATGAAAAAATGCTTTTTAGAGTGCAAAGAAATATCCTCTTTATGTTTTATTAATGTATTCAACGACAGGGTTCCCATATATATCGAACATTTATTATAATATTTTCGTTTGGTGATCAATAAAAGATTTTCTTAACATCCTTATTAAAAAATAGAAATTTCACATAAACCTTATTAAAATAATATTTATTCATTGCCGCCAATGTCTTCTAGGGAGTTAACGAATATTATCAAAATAATATTTATTCATCCACTCGAGTTCAAATAGATTTTTTTAAACTTGTAGCGACATTTGTTTTTCTAAATATTAATGCATGGATTTCGATTAAATTTAAGTTCTAAATAGTTCTAATGCAATAATAGTTCTAATCCTGAAGTACTCTAAATTGTTCTGAACTAGTTTTAATGCATCCAGAAGCACTCTAAATTGTCCTGGACCAAATTCTTGTTAACTTTGTAAGAACACTTTTGTTCAGTTCATATCAGTTCTTAGATTGTATTTTTTCGAGGTAGAAATGGTTATGAATGGATTTCAAATAGTTAAAATAATTATCATAAAAATAGTACATTGAAACTTTTATAATCTTTAGTGAAGAATGAAATTTTTTAAAACCAATTTTTATAAGTAATGAAGGTTTTTGCTCACGCCAGAATCATTAAGAACTCTTTAGAATCATTTAGAACTGTAAAGAATGATTTAGAACCGCCTAGAACAATTTATAATGCCCCAGAAAGATTAAGAACTGTTTAGAATAATTTAGAACTTTTTAGAATCATTTACAACAACCCAGAATCATTTAGAAATGTCTAGAATTATTTAGAACTGTAGCGAATGAATTAGAACCGTCTGGAACAATTTAGAATGCTCCAGAAACATTAAGAACTGTTTAGAATAATTTAGAACTTTTTAGAATAGATTTGGAATAGATTTATTCAACAGAAAGTTTCCTAATAGACCCACAATACCCTAGAAAAAACTAATAGACAATTTTCAACAAAATGACCAAAAAAAACCATTTCCAAAGCTCCTATTCCCAAACCTAAATCATTTTCTACCATTTTACAATCTCCAAAGTACCTTCTTCCTCATCCGTCTCCTCTATTTCCTCATCTATCAAAGGTTGAAGGTGAAATAAATATAAAATGTTTTGTTATTATACTGTTTAATCCTTATCCTGCTATAATTGAGATATTAATAATGGCTGAAGGTGAAAATAATATTCTTGCAAATATTATAGCCTTGGCGCATGATGATGATGACGATGACGATAATATGGATGTTTTAAATGCATTGATATTGGGTCTCGATGAACCAATTGGAAATGATAATCTAGAAGGACATCCACGAGTAAGGAAACCTATGAATGATGATTTCCTTAAAGTGACCGTCCCAAGATTCTCAGATGATCTTTTCAAAGAACATTTTCGAATGATTAGAGGAGCCTTTCAGGTATGTCTCAATCACAAAATATTAAATCTGTTGATTATTAATAAAATTTCAGAACCTACGCAACATGCTGGGAAACAATATTGCTCACAACAGGGACAATATTGACTTTGATAAAAAAAATATTTTCTCTATGGACCATCGGAAACCGGAGTGTTTCTTAGCTGCAGGAGATAGATTTGGACTCGCAAGAAGCACTGCCCATGGAGTATTTAAAATCATTGTGGATTCGTTGGCAAATTTGATTCCCCAGTACGTTCAGTTTCCGAATGCACAGGAAATGCTGATATCAGCAAATGTAAGCAATTTTCTGTTTTTAATTGTCGAGAAATGTCTGTTGTAAGAGTGTAATTATTAATTAAAATATTACTATTTTAGAACTTCAAAGCACTATCACAAGCACGATATGACGGATGTCATATTGTGTAAAAATTGAAATAGTATGATTAAATTGTAAAAGGATTGTTAATCCAAGCAAGGGAGAATCTTACAAAATTGGGATGTTTATAGGGGACAAAGGATCTTCTACAAAATCTTTGGAGGGCTTAGAAGAGCAAGCAATTAGAGCGGTTATAAAACAATTTTAGAGCGATTTAGAACCGGTTTTAAAAAAACAATTCTGAAGCAGTTTAAAAGACGTTTAAAAGCGATTTGTGAAGAACAATTGGATAATATCTCCAAAACTGCAGGAGCTCAAAAAATATCAAAATAAAATTTGAAATTTCGGTAGATCGGTAATGAAGCGTTTGTGGATCAATTTTTATATGAACTTAGTCAACATAATACAACAAACATAATACTCTCGTAAAAAATATAATATTCACCAAAACAAATATTCTACACAATTTTTTTTGTTGAGTTAATAGTAATTTTGCTACTACTAATTGATCGGATACTATCTAACTATTTGATATTAATATAAAATAACTGTTTACACGGGAAAATAATATTGTGTAGAATATTTGTTTTGATCCAATTCATATGCGACTGGGCTCGTATTTACAGAACACAACAAACAATCTTTCAATAAGGGTTAAATAAAGCAAAAATACTAATTAAATATTTTATTACAAAAACTGAAACTGAAAAAATTAAAAGAACTGTTAACTGATCAAAAGAACGTATTGGTATTATTTTAAAGTGAAATTAGAAAAAAAACAGAGATTGGATTTAATAATACAGCCCATTTCACTGATAATAATTCTCATGAAATAATATTACACTGTAAAGATTGCGATAGTCTCCATTTGAATCTTTACTGAAGTAATCTTTCTTTGGCTCAACTATAAGTAAACCGTTTGCTTTATCTAAATTACTTAATACGCCTGGTACTTCCTCTGCAGTTGTCATTCCAGTCAAAGTCCTATTTACTTTAACTAGTCGATACTCTGGACAATCATCATTATTATGTGGTAACGAACGCTAAAAAATGAAATTTATTGTAATATTATATTCTATACTCTGTTTTCTATCAAGAAATAGTAAAAAAATAATAAAGCAGTAATTTATAGGGGCACTAACAAATAAATACAACCTAGTAACAGGTAATACCCTGTATACTGAGAAAACTAATAAAGTAAAATAAACATAACTATTATACAATGGTAAAAGCTGTAACGTTTTGGAATTTTATGATTTTTTTAGTAAAGAAAAGTAAAGAAAAGTAGAAAATATTTTCATTGAATAGAGCGCATCGACTAATACTTGTACACAAATATTCAAATTTTAATTACAACTACTTTTCCAGATACTTCTAATGGGCCCTCATCGTGACACACACTGTATAGCTTCCTTATTTCAAACAAAACGTATTTCGAATATAATTATTCCTCTGTTAACAAAATGTTTACTTACCTCAAATGCATTTCGTGATATAGAAATAAGTACAAAACGTTCGTTGAGAGATTTTTCCAGTAGAGCAGGAATAACGAATAATACACAAGTTATTGCACAGGAAAATGGATTACCCGTTAGACCAAACACTATTTTCAATGTTTCATTATACATAAGTGTCGCAAAGGTCGTGTATTTTCTATAACAAAATGATAATTATTTAATCATTGAAATCTTTCAAGTTACGAAACTTTGACTTACCCGGGTTTCATCTTTATCCTGCAAAAATGTATAGTAGCTTGAAAATCTTCGACGAGGACCCGTTCAACATGTCCAATTCTCCCATTAAACTGTTCGTTATAATAACATCGTTACAAGTAAAACTTTGTTCAAGAGCATGCTTTATTGCATCAGGACTAAAAATTATTGTATTAAAAAAGGATCAAATACATCAGGATTAATTATTACTTGTCTTTAGCTATACCACAATCGTTTGCTTCATAATGGAAATTTTTAAGCAAATTAATTAAGGTGAATCTATTTGCATCTCTGATTTTGCCAGGGGCTAGTTCTTCTTTAGGTTCACAAATATAATTGCCAATTGATATGATTCCTATAGAAGGGCGTCTAGAAAAAAATGTATTACAGTAAAGGAGGGAACTTTTAGGAAACTGAATATTTCAACATACTTATAAACCAAAATATTTGTTTTGCCTAACATGGCTAAAACTCCAAGAGAGAAATGTTTGATACGTTCGCCTTTTTTTAAAACCAAAGAATTCTTCGATACGTCGCTTCCGATTATTCTAAAAAAATTACTAAATATGCCACAATTGTATTTAAAAATTTTCCCTTACCTTATGTTTTCATTATAGTTGGGTGCTCTTTTGATTTTCACCTTAATTACTTCAGAACCATCAATCGAATATTCAACAACTGATGTATCTTCCAATGGTACCACTGCGTCTGCTCCCGCAGGAATTGGATCTCCCATCGATATTCTTATCGCTTCGCCTGACTGTAGAACTTCATCGATTGGCTGCAAAATTACAAACTTAATTTATTACAATTCTAATGAGCTCATTCTTTAGAAATCTCTTAAATGTATCTACATACCTTATTTTCTGCAGTTGCGACATTCTTCACAACACGTATTCCTTTGCCATTGCTCGATTTAACTGCGTAACCATCTATAATCGAAGTTGCAAATGAAGGAATCGATTCTTCAGCACGAAAATCTTCTACTAAAATTCGATTCAGCGATCTCTTCAAAGGCACCGTTTCTGTGGTTTCCTCTTTATCAGAACAAACATCCTTAATACAATCAGAAGCAAATTCAACATCGATAATAGGGTAGTAGTATTTTCTTAATGGAGCCAGTTTCACCTACGAAAATAAAGACAAATTGAGTCTTCGAATTCAGTAATATTACCTTCGCTGATGTCGAAGCTGTTAATTTTATAAATTACCTTACTAAGGCTGGTGGTTGGGACAACGGATGCTCCTGAGTCGCTCAGAATGGCTCCGTGACCGGAAACCACAGATTTTTTTTGTTCTGTTAGGAGCTCCAAAGCGAGGGGTAAGGCTTCCTTGATGATACCGAAGCATTCCGAAACCATTTCAGGGCTTCCCGGCAGATTTACTATCATCGTGTTGTCTCTAATACCGCTCAATGGTCTGGAGATCATCGCCATTGGAATGATCTTCAAGCTACTGGTGATCATAGCAAAGATCATGTCTGGTAGATTGCCTGTTGTGAATATTACGTTAATTTTCAAGTCGAACCATTCTGTAAGAGTCGATTTAATTTCCTGCAAATCGTCTGGTACGATTTTTATTGCGCTTATTTCGGCCGATGGAAACTCCTTTAATATTTCTTCTTTTAATTTAGGACTTGATGAATCATTGCCTTTACCCGCATAACTGCTGTCGCTGACTGTAATGGAGAGTCAATTTGAATCAAAGAAATGTAAAATGAGTTGCCTACTTACCAGTAAGTATTCCGAAGCTTATCTGAACAGGCATAATAAAAGTTCTATAAAATATAAAGAATAGATGTAATAAGAGTAAAAAAATGAGGGAGCGGTCTACCCAATTTTCTTTTATACAAAGTATTTATTACAAAATACAACAGCAAGATTTTGAAAATTGATCCTACATTAAGCTAGAGAAAAAAAAATGTTATTGTTATTATTTATAGAATAGCATGTAGGTAATTCAATTTACACAAAATTGGGGAAGTACCAGTATTTACTTAAACTTAAATATACCTAGGTATCTTCATTAAATAAACGAAACGATTTTACAAGTACAGGGTGTCCCAATGAAAAGTTTTCTCAAAAATGATTTTTGTTACAGTGATACAGAAATTATGCATTACCAATACAGGGTGTTGAATAAAAATCATCTCTTTTAAATTCACAGTTACTAATTTTTTTTTTAAATGGAACACCCCGTATATATAGAGGTATTGTGAATGATATACTCTTCTACTTTTCAAAAATGTATTATTTGTACATGTTATTCTACAAAAGAAAATGTCCTATTTCATAAAATTTGGTTAATGTGAATTTAAAAGAGGAGATTTTTATGAAACACCCTCTACAGGTGATACGAAATTTTTGTGTTACTGTAACAAAAAGTTATAGCAAATTAAAATATATCTTCGAAAACCGCAAGCTTTACGATTAGTCGTTTAAAAATTATTATAGTCTATTGCCAAATTAGTAGGCACTAAATTCTCAGAAATGATTGTGAAGAATTTGCGATAATGGGTCTCTCCCAGTGGCGTACGGAAAATATCGTGGGCTACAAGGTTGTTCGACGTGAAAATCAGCAAGAGACTAATAATTATCAGAGCAAGGATTATGTAATAAATGTTATTATATTTATATACAAATATTATTATATTAATAATCATTATCTTCTGAGGAAAACTCTTCGGATGATGAACTATAATCAAAAATTGAAATCTAACTATAAATTACAAAATATCAATTCAATTACTTAATTCAATTAATTAAGAATTGCGGAGGAATCAGAATTATAGAGGTTGAGTTTTTCTTTCGATGTTTACTATACAGAAATCTGTTTGGATATAAAAAAAAAATTTAAATGGACAAATTTATTATTTGCAGTTTTGTGAGACATGTTTCACAACCAGTACATCAATTTTGCAAAATATGACACCTATCAAAGTATTTAAATTTACTTGGACGACGAAATATGTATGGGTAGACCGCAAAAATTACGGTAGACCGCATGCTAGACCGGCTACAAAATGAGTTTTCCGTACCATAAACGTGGCTGTGGCGAAAAAGTATTGGGAAAATAAAATAAAAATAAAATTTTCTAATATAAAAAGCAATATGTCTACCGGTGCTTCACCGAATATTTAACAATCAACTTGAATAAACAAAATAATCTATACAACTTATTGTTGAAAATAAAGAAATAGTTTATTAAGCAAAAATACATCTTCCTGTTTAGTTTGCATTATAAGCAAAACTGTACGTGACTCGATATTTGTTTTCTTGTTTTTTTTAATTACCTACCGAGTCGCCATTTTTTATGAGATAATTTACTAACGAAAATATTTCAAAAAAATTGAATTCCTTCTTTTAGTCTTTGGATAGTTCAGAAGTGTCTTCCAATTATAATTAAAGTGAATTAAAATATTCATTTATTTCGGTATATAAAAGACAATTGTGTTTTATAAAGCCATTTCCACGATATTGACGATTTAATAAAAACAATATTTATCGATATTTTAACTCTTTAACACCTAAATAAACTTATAAATTATGTAATAATTATACAGACCTTTGCTATTTTTCCGGTGATTCAATTAACACAACTGAAACAGTAACTAATCTCGATGAATTAATTTCTCACTACGTTTTAATTTAGTAAGGCACTCGAACAGATACAGGGAGTTCAGATTCAGACTTCCAGTGAAGAAAGAAGTAAAAAAGCGCTATGTTATGGAATTTGTGGAAAATGCGACGTTGCCCAATATTCCTCTCTTTATCTGGGATTACCCTATGTGGGAATGACCAATCACAAACGCTCAATCGGCTCAATTGATATAATAGGTAAAAGGTGGAGGAAATTGAGTAGAGAATTGTCGTATGTACATACACCGTAGACAAAATAGGTACTATTTAGTACTACTATTGTTTATATGTTTAAAAAAAATCCCTAAAACGAAAACGGTGCAAAGAAATGGCCAATAAACAGAAGCACAATCGTATACTACAAGGTCTGGAAACTCGACTTTTGTTATTGGCGTTATCTACTTGAATGAAGATGTTTATAATAGTTTACTTCAATATAAGCTCTGTAAACATCCAAATTGTGGCAACCTATAACAAGCTAAAGGTTGAATCCAAAAAATATCCTCTACAACATTGATGCCTACCGGTCGATTTAGCAACTACGCATATTCAAGTTTCCAGACCTTATAATATATGACCGTCAACTGAAGCTTCTTACAAATTTGACAGTAATGACAGTAGACGAGTGACATTTGAGGTTAGGTTCGGAATAATCGAAGAGTAAATAGGAAATTTAGGGAAGAAAACTTCTAAAAATGCCGGAAAAGAAAACGTAAAATGGTAAAAGTACTTTTTAATCAATTACTCGACTATAAATCATCTTTCAATTCATCTGAAGAGCCATTTTCGACTTCTACGAAACGTCCTAGTGACCCCTGAAGGAGGCTATTTATGGAGATATTCCAAAAAGAATGAAATTTCAGTGCTCGTTTTACAACAAATTTCTCTACAATGAAGATCAATTTCGAACATTCAGACCTTCTTGGAAGTTACTCGAGGAAGAAAATCATCTTTTGATTTATCCGGAGGGCAATTTTCGACTTCTACGAAACGTCCTAGTGACCCCTGAAGGAGGCTAATTGTGGAGATATTCCAAAAAGAATGAAATTTCGGTGCTCGTTTTACAACAAATTTCTCTACAATAAAGATCAATTTCAAACATTCAGATCTTCGTGGAAGTTAATCGAGAACGATAATAATCAATAATTACAATTGTAAGTACAAATACAATTACTCGTAATGATTATACTCACACTTGTAAATAATTTGTAGGCCAATCTTGCAATAATTTAGGTTAATATTTCAGTCTGCGATGCAAGACGTGTTACTGCAAAGATCACGTGCGAAGAAAAGTATTCAAATAGGTAAAGATAAAAAGAATAATTTTGTCTTAAATGCGAATTTGAGACGTCGCAAATTAAAAGATTTGAAGTGTCTTGTAATTGAATTGAATTTGGGGGACACATTTTGTATTTGTTGTTATTTTTTTTTTAGCTCTGAATCGTAAATTCGGTAGGCAAGTTCAAGCCGGTGGGTACGATGATGATAACTGTGATGATGATAATGATGATGATTAAGCTCAATTCAGTTGTTATACTTAAGAGGATGAGGAAGATGATGATGATTACGAGGAGGATGGTGATAAGATAAGAAGAAAATTATTTAGAAACGAAAGGTTAAATTAAAATAACATGATTATTGAAAAATATTTTGCAATAAAGAAACGTTTCCAATTTCTGGTGCGTTTTAAGGCTAGAGTTTGGTACTCTGAAAATAATAGGCGTAAAATGCCTAGGTGTAATTAAGTTGCCTATTATCAAATAAAATATTTTGTGAGTACTGAATTCTTGTCTTAAATGGTTTTAAATTATTCTGGAGCGTTCTAAATGGAAGAAAGAATATCCTTAGTTACTTCATAACAACCAATGTAAAATTTATCATATGAAAAAATCTCCCTATAATTACTTCTTAACAACAATGTAAAACTGTGAAATAATGACAATATCTCCCTAGTTATTCCATAACAATGATAAACTGTCAAATAATAAAAGAATATCCTTAGTTACTCCATAACAACAATGTAAAACTGTCAAATATTGAAAATATCTCCCTAGTTATTCCATAACAATGATAAACTGTCAAATAATAAAAGAATATCCTTAGTTACTCCATAACAACAATGTAAAACTGTCAAATATTGAAAATGTCTCCCTAGTTATTCCATAACAATGATAAACTGTCAAATAATAAAAGAATATCCCTAGTTACTCCATAACAACCAATCTAAAACTGTCAAGTTGAAAACGCCTCTTTTACATTTAAAATAAAGCACCGAATACGAGCCAATATTCACGTAATCTTGGTTGCCTATAATAAGTACCTACATTCACATCCGACTACGAAAACTGGACTCCTCCTTTTCAGGCATCCAGCTACCAGAAATTCGCGCGTCCCAAGCATATACCTATTAGTATATACTGCTAAATCCCTATCTATTCCATAAGAGAAAATCGTAGCGATTAAAGAGAGAGATCCGACCGTCCGTGGTGTGCTTAGTCGTTTATACGCAAGCGCATTAATTTGAAATTAATTTGAAAATTAATTTGAAAAGAAGGAAAATAATTCTTGAAATCGTGTTTATATTCGGTAACCTGACATATTTACACAGGCAAGTCAAAGTCGATTTTAAAAATATATCAAAAAATATACCAAAATAAAAGCTAGCACGTTTCTGACGTTTCTTTTGCTCTGTCAAAAGTAGCCAATCAAGAAATCTTTCACTTGAGCATGCGCATAAATAAGCAGGCACACCACAGTATAATGTTTGCTACGGGTTTTAGACCGTAGTAAGCAGTATAGAACTAATAGGTATATGGTCCCAAGTCTCAAACCACCGGCCCGCTTGCTACGATCGGAACAAAACAAATCCCCCGATGCCGGTTCGTATTGCGCACGCGCAGTCGCAGGAATGAGGAAGTGGATCCGTTCGGTGCGATGTTGCCAGATTCTTTATACCAATTTTCTTGTTCAATTAAACTTTCAAAAACTCTCTTCATATTTCTGCACAAATGTAAATCGTCAACGGTGACGTTATTTCATCATTAGATTAGATTGGAAATTTAATGTTTTTTCGAAATTATTCAAAAAAGTAGAAAACAACTTTTCTCTACAAAATGGTGAAACTTCCGT